TCCTCATTATGATATTGTACTATATTTACATTCAGTGTAACCATTGGTGGAAACTGAGTGAAGGATGCACAGGACCCCTCTGTGTTGTCTCTGAAACTTTGTGTGAATCTATAATTATTTCAAAATAAAATTTTCTTTTTTCAAACAAAGATGTATTTCTCTGACTTTAAGAACTTTCTCAGCACTAAAGTCCCCAGGTAATGGTGGTGGTGGTCCCAGAGTGGAAATTGCAGTGGGGGGGCCGGCCCGGTGGCGCACTGCTATAGTGCGCCGCTTGCAATGATACTATTTATTCATATTTAATGTTAGTTCTAAGCCTTATGATGGTGTTTTTCAAAATTTACTACAATAGGGCCGGCCCGGTGGCGCACTGCTATAGTGTGCCGCTTGCGAAGTGCGGCGGCGCTCCCACCGAGGGTTCGGATCCCACATACAGACCAGTTCCCGCTCACTGGCTGAGCGAGGTGTGGGAGCAACACCGAGGGTTGCGATCCCGTTGCTGGTCCCGGTCCGGTACGGGGGCGACACTGAGGGTTGCGATCCGTTGCCGGACATGGAAAAAAGACAAAAAAAAAAAATAAATAAAGGAAATTGCAGTGGGGAAAGGAAGGTACGAAGTAGTTACTATGGGCCAAATATTGTGTTAAGTACTTTATGTACAATACGTGTATTATTTCATTTAACCCTAAGAACAGCCCCGTGATTGTAAATATTCTTTTTTCTGTTTTATAATAACTTGTCTAAAGGAATAGGAGCTTATAAACATCGGTGGAAATGTTCGAATTAATGCATGCATTCCAGACTTATTTTTATGGAATGATAAGGTAATAAAGATAAGAAAAGTTAAAATAATATGATCTTTTGAACTTCAAAAAAAGCCATCCTTAATAGTCTCCATCAGCTGGCGATGTTCCCAGTAATGCTTCTGCAGACCAACTATGATAGAAGAGGCACACATAATTATCCTTTCCTGTTCAATAGTGTAGAAAAACATCATGCCCATATAGTTCCCAAATGGGACGGCATATCCAGTTAAGAAGTTATCATCCTATCTCTCGAGAAATGACACTAACTAAGGCACAGAACTTTTGTTTTCAAGGGTTCTATTGGTCTCTTAAAATATCACTCACATGTGACCAAGAGTCAGTTAATTAACTGTTAATTAACAAATAGTTGTGAATTGCATAAAGGGCTTCTCTCAGCCAGATGCTGCTCATAAATATAAAGTAAATGTAGTAGAAATCGTTGATAAGTAATAAAAAGTTGCATTTCTCACATGGAAGAGGTCCTGTAGCATGACTCGTTCCAATACTGAGGGAGTGGTGCCCTCTAGCAGTTCACCTTGAAATATTATCCTTTTAAGTATATTATATTTAGCAAATGAGGATCTCCCAGCATCTCAGTTATTCTCAGACTTAAGTGGATAATTTGAGAATTGTTTTTGTCTTTTCTGAAATATTAGGAACCTACTGATGTTTCACCTTCCATGTGCACTAATCTTTTTTATGGAAACACAATTGATTTCACATATCTGTGGGGTACTGTGCTGAATATCAATACCTGTGTGCAATATGTGATTCTCAAATCAGGATAATTAGTATATTTAGCATTATACAATGTAATCATTTTTGTGGCCCTTTACCAGTTTCTCACTAAATTGCCCTTCCCCTACCCCTTTCCAACCTCTGGTAACCTCAGTTCTCTTTTCTCCTTTTGAAAGCTCAATGAATTATTGTGATTGTTGTAGCTATACTACTCTGCCATAAAAAAAAAAGAACAAAATTCTGCCATTCGTGGCAACATGGATGAACTTAGAGAAAATTATGTTAAGTGAAATAAGCTAGGCACAGAAAGAGAAATACTGCATGTCCTCACTTAGAAGTGAGAGCTAAAAATGATAAATAAATAAAAGAAATACCACAAAAATTATGTTAAGTGAAATAAGCTAGGCACAGAAAGAGAAATACTGCATGTCCTCACTTAGAAGTGAGAGCTAAAAATGATAAATAAATAAAAGAAATACCACATGTCTTCACTCATAACTGGGAAAGGAAGGAAGGAAGGATGGAAAGAAAGAAAAGAAAGAAAGAGAAGGAGAAAGAAAGATGTGTACTTTCTAGCAGAAGTTAGCTTCTAATAATGCTCTATTAGGGACCTTTCCAATAACTTTTAAAACCTCATTCTCTGTGAATGTCAAGTTAAACGGACCCCTTTCGCTTCTTCTTTAAGCCTCTCCTGGGCCAGTTTTTGGGGATCAGAATAAATATGGGGTACAGATAGAAAAAAAGCATAATCCTACAATCTGAACTGTGTCTCAGGTGCAAGAGATGGTCTTAAAAGGGTAGACTGTTAAGAAACCCATTAATAGGTCAAGTATTCAAAAACCCATAAAGGTCTGACAGTTTTGCCAGAGGAAGCTGATAGATTCTCAGGGTTAAATAACACAAGAAGCAAATTAAACCAGTTGAAAACAAAGAGAAAAGATTTGAATTTGTAATTCCATTTTTATTACTAAAAGATATTCAAACTCAATCTTATCTCTAGGATATAGAAACGGTGATATGCACATAACTAGTATGTTACAAATGCCTTTGAAACTGAGAGGTGTGTTTTCTGCCCTTTGTGGGGCTGGTATGCTATTCCAAATCTTGTAAAAGCAATATATAGTTTTTTTGACAAATATACCCATGTGCTGTGCACAGTTTGATTTATGTAAACTCATTTCAAATGCAACTGCAGAATTCTTCCTGAACAGATGAAAAATGTCTGACTAAAGTGATAAAAATATATGTGTATAGAAAAATACTGTTTTAAGAAGGAATTTTTATGTGACAGATTTGTAACTCTATTTCACAAAATACCATTTTTAAAAAAAAAAACTTCGAGAAGACCTGATTTTTTTTTTTCTTTTTACATTTTTTGTGACAATTCGGGTGTTTACCTAAGATGAGAATGAGTCTGTCTGGCCAAAACACTTTTCTGTGGCACAAATTAGCTTACATGGGATTGGTAAATGAGGGATTGATGTCAGTATAACATAAATGGTGGATTTGTTTATGTGTTTCTCTAAGTAGCAACTAAACACAAAGTCCACTGACACAGATCAGCACAACTAGCCAAGGAAAAAAACTTCTGCCAACGATTCCCATTCACCCTACATTCTTCCTCTCAGCACAGTTTGGCCACTTACTCTAACGTGGCAGTGCTTTTATTGCATAGTTCTCAGTCTTTCTGCTATTTGCACTTGTTTCATAGCTTAGCAATCTCAACTCTCCCTTCCATCAAGCTATCTTCTCTCTCTCTCTCTCTCCCCCCCCCCTCACACACACACACACACAAACACGCACACACACACTGTATTTTATGTAGTATTTCTCTAACATGACTCTTACTTGTCTTTTTAATCATACTCTGTATTTGATCATACTCAATTTTTTCAAGGACAGTTATTGTTTTTGTTAGTGTTCTTGTTACAAAAATATTGAGTAGGTCTGTCCTGACCCTATCTTTTTCATAAGCCCTATAATTTTTACCATGTGATTTTGCAGACCATATTAGGAATGCCTTTATTTCATTATAGCAGAAACATCTGTTATTTGCACTCTAGTTACTAATTGCACGTATCATTATAAAATTACTCTCTGAATTATGTACTGCCCTCATGAATTTGAGGTACACTGATTGAGATATCAATTGCCTACTGGATTCATTTATTTAATTTCACCTTCACATGGTAATACCAGTCTCAGGTGTACATTGCATCACCATATTAAAAAATTACCTTCCCATCTTTATTTGTTTCTAAGCAATTACTGAAAACATTTCCACAACAAAAGCACTTAATAAAGACTTAACTTGGTTCCACTGAAGTTTATTTTTATTTTTAAAATCACTGGGAAATGGTTTGGGTACATTTAAGAAATTGATCCCATCCGCCACCCACATAACATACATTCACTCCTAGTCCTCCTTTATGTAATGTGTGGTTTGTGTTTAAATTTTATATTTAACATAGTCTGAAATCTTAAATTGTATCAGGTCAAACTGCAGTGAGTCAAGGTGTTAAAAATGGCAAAATTAAGATTCCAAGAGATGAATCCATCCATTCCAAAAATCTCTTCTCACACTTTAATTCAAAAGAAAATAGAATTTTTTTCATAAAGGTATCTTTTACTTTTCTTCCCTGAGGACACAGATGTGTATCTTTTGTTTTAAGAAAGAAGTAATTCTTTAATATTATTTTCATATAACTATGTTACTGGTGTCAACATGACTGAAATCTTTAGAACACTAGTAGTGAGCATGTAATACAGTTTTCTAAATATGCTGCAAGAGAAAGTCACAATTTCTCATAAACGTGCCAAGCATTGCATTAGGCGCTAGTAGTGAAAACCTGAACAAAGTCTTTGTTTTTAAGGAAAAGCTCACAGAGGGTGACAATAGAGACATTTCAGCACTTTCCATAAAAGAAATCTGTATGTACAGAGTGCTATGGGACAGAGCAGAGGTGGTGACTACATCAGAGAGACGATGCTTTTTCTTAAAAAGAAAAAAATGCCATATGGGAGTTTCTTGTTTTGTTTCTTTCCCTTTTGCTTCTCTGAAATTTTTGAATTTTGTTCACTTGAATATGGAATAATTTTTTTAAAAAATCCCTTAGCAGAGTAATGAGAATGTTCTGTATCTTGATTTTTATGGTGGAGCATTCCAAATCAAGCTGTACACGTACATCTGGTGCATTGTACCATACATAAATTATATCTCAAATTATAATAAATTCATCAAAACTTACAGTGCTACTCACTTCCCTTTAGAAAAAAATTAGCTCCCTCCTTTTGATGACTAAGGCAACAATAAGTACGTTATAGGATGAAAAAGACTAAAGAATAATCTAATGGGTCATTCTGGCATAATAATTAAATATTTTATTACTAAAATAATTCTTAAGTTATTGTGGGTTTTTTCTTGCATAATAATTTATTTTGTTTTCTATATTGTCTTCTAGCTGTAGGTCCAGATTTTTCAAGAACACTCTTGAAAAGAGTAACTCTTGTCAAAGTGGGAGGTGAAGTTGTCATTGAGTGTAAGCCAAAAGCTTCTCCAAAACCTTTCTACACCTGGAAAAAAGGAAGGGACATATTAAAAGAAAATGAAAGGTACTATCTTGAAATATTTTTAATATTCGGTTAACCTATAATAATTTGTTGTTCTGTTACTAATAGTTCTAGAAGAGGGGTGGATTTACTATCTGCTAATCCCGGACTAAATATTAATCAAAGAACTGAAGCTTTGGAAGGGAGTGGTAAATTATTGATAGAATCCCTCTCAGTTTTGGGATTCTACAAAGCCCTCCCTGCAGAGATAGATCACATATCCAAGATTGTTGGAGCTGCCTGAAAATGAGCAGCTAGAAATATCCTTATTAATTTTAACCTAACATTTCAACGTAGATTAGCCCTCTTTTCTCCATCCTACCTCCTTTGACATATGCAAATAAGTACAATTCTTCTTTGCTGTGACAACCCTTCAAATTTCTAACAACAGCATTTGTGTCTCCTATCAGTCTCTCCTTTCTTGATGTTAAATGTCTCTAATTCCAAAACTCATTTTGAATATAGCAAATTATTCTGCTTGATTTTTGATGATTTTTTTTTCAAATTTTATTTTAGTGGGTAACTGAAACCACTGAAAGCAAAACCAAGGTTAAGGAAGGATTACTGTACCTTTATTTATTTATTTATTTTTTGTGGGGAGAGGGGTAATGTTTTTATTTTTTATTTATTTATTTATTTATTTTTAAATTATTTTTATTTTGTCAATATACAATGTAGTTGATTGTTATGTCCGATCACTGAAACCTTCCTCCCTCCTCCTTCTCCCCCCTCCCACCCAAGTGTGTCCCCTCCATTTGCTTATTGTAAGAACTTCAAAAAAAAAAATTGTGGTTGTTATATCTTCCTCTCCCCTCACCCCCCCGGTATTTTGTTGTTGTTGTTGTTGTTGTTGTTGTTTGTTTGTTTTGTGTGTGTGTGTGAGAGAGTGTGTGTGTGTGTTTGTGTGTGTGTATGTGTGTGAATTGATTCATTCACCTTTAGC